GGAAATAATGTTATATCCATGTGAATCAACTCTTCTTTGAATTTGACATTTTTACACTGGTGGTTGAAATTGCTTGTAATGTGACAAATATAATAGACATGATAACCATAAGGTGGTTGCCAACCATTATTTTGATTTGCCACAACTGATTTGATGCTTTGGTGTTGATTTGATATTAAACAAATGCCTTGCTTTATAGTTACATATCGACGAATGTTTGAAAAAAATCATGACCAATTACTCAATGTTTAACCTTCAACTACAACAAAAACAATTGGTAAAATATGAGCATTGTCATCTTGTGTTGTAGCGATTAACAAAGTTCCATAATATTTCCCACATAAAAATGTTCCATCAATTTGCATGATGGGTTTTGGGTAGTTGAATGCATCATAAGCAGATTTGAATGTCCAAAACACACGACGAAACTTGCAAAAACGTGCGTCAACAACATTATTGGACACATAATCTATTATCTCAAGTCTATAAGCAGAGTCAGGACAATATTCTAGCATCCTATCCAACCACCTTGGCAAAAGGTCATACAAATCTTCCCAATCACCAAAAACTCTTGAAATGACTTTTTGTTCTGCTTTCCATACCTCTCTATATAAAAACTTAATAATTAAATTGTCCACTTATTCTTTCTTGAATTAATGAAATTGACATAAAAACATCTTCCCTCACCATTTCTGAAATGAAATGTTAAACATAATATTAATAGTTATTAGGAAAATAAAATTTTTTTTTAAAAAAATATTTGAAAGTGTGTATAGATAAAGTTACCTAGTACCTACTATGAAAGAGCAAATGAATTTAGAGTCCAATTTGTTATGATTTTGAGACAACATTGCATTAATGCATGTGTGTCACTACCCCATTTCTTTATGACCCACTTGTTATTCAACTTAGTGGACATAATAACCCTTAGTTTCCAAGGGCAGCCTTCATTGCTATTAGGACATCTTACAGACAAAACCTTCTATCCAGACTCAACAACTACAAATGTCTAGTGAACATTCATAAAGTAGTGTTTAACAACCATTTGTACATTAACATTTGTATGAAAACATAACCCAATATATAACTTATCCCTAATGCACCAAGAATTGGGAACATCTAACCCACCACACCACAACTCTTGATCTGTATGAGACCAATCGATGTAACTATAATGTGGAGTATTGCTCCAAAATGGAGGTTGTGATAGACCTACATGGTGATAAGAGACACAAAATTATAATGGTGATAGAAAAAAAATTATATTACTTGTTTCGTTCATTTTGGGAGGTTCAACTTCAAATGGTGATTGCACGTTTATCATACGATTATCATTACTATCAAAGTTATCTTCATTTTATGAGTTATCATATGCAATTTCATCATCTTGTTCAACATTGATATCGTTTGAAGTTAGACATGAAACACATAGAAGGGGGGTTGAATGTGTGTGTGTGAACAAATGTATTTTAAAAACTTTTCTTAAGAATGATTCTTCGTCTGAGAATTTCATCGTCTGCTTAGAGAAAATGTTTCTTAACCACAAGCCGTCCTTTATGATGATAAATTAAACATGTGTGGTTTTCGTCTAAAGATAGTTGTAACTAATGATAAACGATGGACGAAGTTTTCAGTAGGTTAAATCAACTACGTGAAAGTGTGTCTAAAGCTTAATAAAATAGTGCAAGTATTTTTATATTGGTTCACTCAAACTGAGCTACGTCTAGTCTCCTTCAAATGAAGGGTTCCGCTAGATATGAAATGAAGTACAATGAGTATTATCGTTCACTCTTGGACCTGAGTATTCTCGACCATTCCTGGCCCGTCAACTTCACTCACCAGCGCTAATATTTTTTTATCAGCCTCTTCAGGCTAGCATTGAGTATTATCGACCACCCAGGTCATGACCACTCCTGGTCACGAGTATTCTAGACCACTCAGGTCACGACCACTCCTGGTCACGAGTATTCTCAACCACTCCTGGTTGGCTAGCTTTACTCACCAACTCTAGTATTCTTAAACCACTTATGGTTCCCCTTCTCTTATACATATCTGAAACACTACTACACTTCTTGTTAAAAATAACAACATGTATTATATTTGTCTCATTCAAAACCTTGCTGGGAATTGCTTCGTCTTCGTTTGACTTAACATCGTCATCGTCACTTAAGTTTGTTGCAAAATTAATATTTGAATCAAGATGATTTGTTAGTGGCAAAATTATTTGCTTAAACTGATGGTGACTACTCATTACGTTTGAATGTGTTAAAATTGGGGTTGATGTGTTTCTTTTATTGTAGTTAAATCTTGTAAAGGAAAAGAAGATGTGCCAACAATATCAACATCAATATATAATTCTACCATAGTCATATGATATTGTCGTTCAAAACTATCAAACATGCATACAACATCTTCATTGTCAACAATTTCTCCAGCTAGATAAAAAATGGGATTAAGAGAATGCAAATATCTATAATTGATACTAGAAACAATTTGGTTATGATGCAATTTGAACTTGGCATGAAATTTTTTTCTTTAAAGATTCAAAATCTAATCCATGATTTTTATGGATTGTTTTTGTGTCACCTGTAAAAATACAACCTTGATCATTATTAATTATACTACCATTATAATAATAAGCAAATGAAATACATTTTGAAAATAAAAGTAGACTGATGCACAAAAACACAAAGAAAAATGTTAACAGACGCAAATATGAAAAATGGAGAGAAACACTTGGGATGGAGATATGAAGAGAAGAGAAAAGTTGTGACGTCTATATATAGTGAATCCAACTACTTAATGAGAGCTTCACAGGAGCATTCATGTTTCACGGGACTACATATCTTCATTACTTTCAGACAATAAGAAAGTTGAGGAGATTCACGAGACTAAAGCAGATGGGACTTAAGTTTCACAAAGTTGCACTGGATGCGACTTAACTACCACGAGGATGAAAAATATTGCATGCAAAATGTCAACTATGGAGACATTTCCAGTTCCATGGAAAACGTCAACCATAGTGACGTTTTTAGGTCTTCTTCTACATGCAAATTATGTTCCAAAATCCAAAATCATGCATAAAATGTCATGCATGAAGACGTTTTTCAATGTTCCAAAACATGCATAAAACGTCACCATTGTAGACGTTTTCAAAAGATTTTAAACAACATATAAAGAGTCACCAATGTAGACGTTTTCTTGTTTTGCTTTTGGATTACACAAAACATCACATGGCGTGGCGTTTTCTTCAACCCTACATTCTACCGTGGCCAAAATATTTTATTTAGGTAAATTATTTTTTATTTAATTTATTTCAATAATTATTTATTTATTTATTTATTATGGCCAAAAGGCCTGTCTATCCTCTCTTATTTATTTATATATATGGTCCTATGTCAAATAAGCATGATAATACATGTGTCAAGCACACCCATAAAAAAGTGAGTAGTTATTATTTTTAAAAACACTAGTTATTTTTTATAAGATATATTGATAAGATATTTCATTTATAAAAGATATATTTATAAGAAAAAAATTAAAATATAATAAAGAGGTATAACCTTCTTTAGAAAATTGGACATAAAATGTAATATCTCCTTTATATATTGTATAAATATCTTACACAAAATCATTATACTTGACTCAAATAAAACTATTATAAATGATATATAATATTTAATATAATTAACTAATTATATATCTATGACTCTTGGACACAAAACCATTTATTAAATTAAATCAATTTTGCACTAGTTGAATTATCTATCCAATGATACAAGGGAATGTATTATATTAGAATTTTAAAGGATTTTAAATATTTTTTTTTATAATTTTTTTGTGATAATCAATTAAGATTTTTTCTAATATAGAAAAGTCATGGTATTTAATTAGGACAATTAATTTTTTTAAAAGTACATTAAAATTGGATAATATTCAATTAAGATAATCTTAATTTATTCAAGAGTATCTTAAAATTTAGTAGTATTCAATTAATTTTGTTTTACTTAAAAAAAGCTTGTTAATATTTAAAAACATAAAAATTTTAATAAATTATTTTGAATGATAGATTTTGTGAGATTTTTTTAGTAAAATTTACATATAATTCATTTATCCAATAATTTTATCAAAACCTTTTTTTTCAATTTTTTCTCTTTCTATTTTTTTCCCACTCTTTTTCCAATCTTCTTTCTTGTCTTTCTCTTTTCTCTTATGTTCCTTATGACCTTATTTATCTCTTTTTTTCTTCTTCTTATTTTCTCTATTTTTTTATTTATCAATATTGATGTATAATTTATTAATATTTTTTAATTTTTTAATATTTAAAATTATTAAATATTATTTAATATTAAATTTTAAATTATTAAAATTTAACTAATATTTATTTTTAATAAAATTTAATATTGAAATATTAAAATTTTAGACATATATTATGAAATAATTTATGTATACGGTGAAAATTTTATTTTATTTACTTTAAAAGTATGTATTACAATAATTTTCATATATATCATTGAAATAGTAAATAATTTAAGATTAAACAAATTTATATCAATTTGAAATTATTAATAATACATTAATATAATTTTAAATTATAAAAAATTAACATTTTAGTCTGTACAATGTTAAATATTTATTATATGCAATTAAAAATTATAATAAATTATATATACAAATAAATATTATGTTTAAATATATAAATCATAATTAAAATTTTAAAAATTAATATTTTTTTTATGGGAAAAAATAATTTAAAAAAATAAGTTATATTTTAGATTTATGATAAATAATTTATATCATAGTTTAATATTTATTTATTTACTTTACAGAATCAAATTAATTTATTAATAATTACAATTTTAATAAATAAAAACTTAATTAATTAAGAATTTGATTATTTTTTGAAAAAATTTCTAATAAGTTATCGAAATTGATATTTAACCTCGATATTTTGACAAATAACACGGTCTCTATGGGCAACTGTGTTTTAAATGCTAAATAGAATAATATACCAAATTGACCAAAAGGAAACAAGAATTTGATTCACCTCTCAAACAACCCAAAGTAAAGAAAGAGAATGGGGAACGAGGAGGAAGAAGAAGAAGTGGTGGCTGAAGTCGAAGCAGTGGAAGCGGTGTACGGAACCGATTGCGTCGTTCTCCGTTCATTTCCTCCCCATTTCCACATCTCTCTCAAACCCAGAACCGCCGATGTTTCCTCCCAACAGGTCTTCTCCTTTTCTCTTTCGCTTTTCCCCTTTCAATTTCGCTATCACCCATTTTTCCCTCTTGTTTCATCAACTCCCAAAAGTAATTTTTACATATGGAATTGCTCTCGACGCTGTATTATTATATTGAGCTAGGTGAATTTGGTAAGATGAATGTTTAGCAGTGTGCTCCAAAGAGAAATTATTAAAGTCCTGGTCAATCAACATTTGATACATATTTGAGCTTATTTAACCTTTTCTTTTTAATTGGAAATTTTGACGACGTGTAATGTGAAAATTGGTATGGATCATGGCTACATGGTAGTTTCAGATCATGTAATATTTTCTCGTACACGAAAGGTGTGATTATTTGTGTTAGAGTCGGTAAACACCCAAATTGGTCCCTGAATTTGGAACCATGAAACTAAGAAATTGTTAAATAAGTCCTCATAAATGCAAATTCACAATCATATTAGTCCAAAACTCAAAAAAATGTGACTAAAGTGGTAATATATGTCCCCAGAAATACAAATTCACAATCATATTAGTAGAAAACTCAAAAAAATGTGACTAAACACACACACACACACACACACATATATATATATTCAGGGACTAAAATGACAGCCAGGAGTTAAATTTAAGAACTTATTTGACATTCTTGGGACTTATTTGATAATTTCTTAGTTTCAAGAACCAACGTGACCCTATCTTCCAAATTCAAGGACTTAAGTGGATGTTTCCTCTTTGTATTGTTAAATTTATTTGAGTGAAATTATAAGTGCCAAGGCTTTAGAATTCTCATTTTAGAAATCATGATGAGGATGACTTTTAAAGTAGGAATTACAATGGTCAACAATCTTATCATACAATGCAGTCTATGATTGAATGACAATGTAAAAGTTATTTACGTTGCAGTATATTTAAAATAAATCCAACTGTATGATTGTTGGCGTTGATTTAAAGTTATTTCCCCCCTTGATCTGTTGGTGTTGATTTAGACCTGTGATTTTGCCATGAAAAAGTGTCTGATTGTTAGTAGTTTTTTATGTTAATTTTCTATGCAGTTTGTAGAAGCTGTTTTGGAGATACGAGCAAGCCCACAGGTACATTTTGTTGTATATATGCATTTGGTTTTGGTCTGAGTAAAGTTAACTGGTGCTTTCAAATACTATATATATATATAGAATTTGAACTGTGGTCTTCTTGAAGGGATTGGGAGGATTTACTTCGTTGATGTTTTTCTTTATTCTCTATTGGTTGTTTGATCTCTTATCCTCTAAACTCTATTTGTTTCAATGAGCTTGTTGTTCTTCTTCTTTTTGTCCCCTTCTTTTCTTAAAGAAAAATAGAAAGAAAAAGCTAGTTGTGTGCCTTAAATAAAGTAACTTAGGATATTGACTTTTGCCTCCTTTCTTGTGATAGTATCCTAAAGAACCACCTTCGGTTGATCTTGTGGATAGCAAGGGTCTGGATGAACAGAGACAAAAACATCTATTAAATTACATACAGAGTAAATCCAACGAGCTCTCCCTTTGTTTAATGCTTGTAGCTCTCTGTGAGGTAACAGTTGCATCATTGATCTAGCTGCACATTTTGAAACAATGACATTGATGGTTTTACTTCATGCATGTGTGCCCCTTGTTTGTGGATAATCTTGTGAGCATTTATTTAGTGAACTTTATAGCATGTGCTTTGATCACATTTTCTTTTGCTTAGCTCCTGGTTGAGATGAAAAGATACATTAATAAGGTTCGTTTCCCCAAGCTATTTTAGTCAGTTGATATTTATTTCAGTAAATGAGATCAAATGCACTCAAGTCAATTCACTAGTATCGAGGAAGACTTCTGAATCTAAGTCCTATAGCTTAATGAGGCTAAGAACAAATGTAGAAAGTTAAGAATTCTGGGTGAAAATATATACTATTTTTAGGTAAAGTGATTGGAGATACCGAAGTCAGTGTTTTTGGTTTCTTGGGTCAATAATTCAAATTTATGGCTGATACGTTACCTCAAGTGCACGGTATCTTTCCAGTAATAATAATATTGAATCCATAGAGACTGCATGTTTCGGCTTCGCAATTGTAGCATTTTAATTAAAATTAAGCAAAAAGGAAAATAAATTATTTTTGAAGATTGAATTGGGAAAAACAATTGAAAATCAAATCAAATCAAAGTAAAAGAAATAATTAAAATTGAAAAACTCAAAATTTAGAAAGCTTCCAGGATTGGGGGTTTCACACCAAGATTTCCTATTGACCTAATCTTCTTATTTCAATGTTCTCCTTTATTCTCTTTGAAAGCAAATTAACTTAAGACAATCTCCATTCTCTTTCAAGACATGGAGATGTATTTAAATGAATTGACTCCTACTTTTGTGGTAGTTATGTTCAATTAACTCCTTTATGTTCTTTTCTAATTGGTTTTATCCTTTTAGGATTAATATTACTGTCATGAATTAAAACTTAAGTCCTTTCCTTATAGGTTCAACGTTTCACATGAAAAATGGTAACTAAGCTTTCCTATATATAATTCAATAAAGGAAGAATCAAGAGAACATAAAAAAATTTGATTAACATCAATAGTGGTCAAGGGAAATGCCCCAATCCTAGAACAAAGAAAAAATTACTCACAAGTAGCCATGAAAAGAAGACAAAAAAAGATATGGTAGGTAAACATCAAACCAGAAAAAGACGAGAACAAGATGATCAAGCTACTTATGCTGTCAATCGTTTGTTTTTGGAATGCCTCAATCTAGGTTCAAAATGCTATTTAAACTAATGGGCCAAAAGGGTGCAAGCCAAATTTCAAGAGAAATAATGAAAAACTAATGCTGTTAGTGCAGTGCCCATGTATGGGTGTGCCAGATGGCGCATGGCCTTTCCAGGTTCTATCCAAAAGCCAAACAATGTAAGTGTTGTGCATGGGCATGCTAGGTGGTTCACAGCAGTGCTAGGCTCTAGGGATCCAATTGTGCTTTTTCCCATCACGCGGTCTCCAAAGCTCCCAACTTCAATCTTAAGTATTCGTAGTGCTTCTAAGTCTAAAACACATTCCTGCAGCATAAAGATACCCAATGCATAACAAGTTCCAGTGTTCCACAAAAAGGACACTATAAAACAATGCTATGATTATGTCTTAAATGACAGAATATGCAATTTATTGTAATAAAAAAGCCTCAGACAAATGTTATGAAATGCAACACATCAATAGGTAGATTAAAACTTGTTGACAAGGCCAAATAGTGGTACAGAAGAACTGTGCCCAGGGAAGAGGGAGTTAGGTTGATGCCTGGTGCATAGGAAGCTTCAGGCAGCCAACCTAGACGTACTGCTTCAGGAGAAATTGGGCCCAAGGCTGACTTGAATTATGTATGCTACTGGCAAACAAGGGTATCCATATACTGCAGCTGCTTTGAGGGGCTTGCTTCTTTATGCTCAAGTGACTCACTTGGTTCCAGCTGCAGCTTACCCTCCCGCTTGCCTCAATCCACCTGAAGCCACCTCATGCCCATTCTCTGTTATGCTTCAAATTCCCTAAAATATCTCCCTTGATTTCTTCATTGTGCTTCTGCTGCTTTGTACGTTGCTGCCTTGGGAGTATACTTTAGTTATATGAGGTCTATCAACCTATAATTTCATGTGAATAATATTGTAAATGAATGGAGTCCCATTGAGTTCCTTGGTAGATCATTAAATAAATGGTATATATGTTTAGCTAATAACATTCATCCACATCTTACTTTATCTTGTCACATTTGGATTCCTCAGGACTTGATATGACAAAAGGTTTATCAAAACTAGAGCTAAAAGCTGTAGAGTAAGCTGAAAGTGAACAAGTTGGAAGCTGAAAACTAATAAGTAAGCTAATTGAATTAAAAATGTTTTAAAACTAGCTGTTGAAATGTCTGGTAAATGTAACAAGTATAAAATATCACATTTAATTACTTGGTCATAACTCTAAATTTGGCAACTATATATATTTTCTAATAATTATGACTTTTAATATTTTATTTATTTCAAATAATTTATTATCTTAAAATAATAGGATAATATATATATATATATATATATTTATTTAATAAAAAGAGATAATATAAATGGATATATATTATAATTTGATTTAATATTATAAAGAAATGATATATGATGAGAGTTAGATAGTGTTCATGTTATAAGGGCTTTTGAAGATAAGAAGGGTATAGGAATTCTAATAAAATTAGTAAGAATGAATAAGAATTACAAAGAAAAAAAAAATGCTTGGAGCTTATAAGCTCGAGTGCTATATGAAGTAGTGTTTGAAGAAATGCTATAAGCTAGTGAAATAAACTCTTCTATCAAACAACTCTATTTTGGTCAAACAAGCTCTTAAGCAATTAAGCTAGTCAAATAAGTTAGTGATACTTTATTTGTCTTGCCTAACAGACTGAAAAATCAAGAATATTCATGATTCTAATATTGCTTAATCGTGTCGGACTGCATACTCATTCATTCAAAATCACTCCGTGCAATTTTTTTCGCTTTTCTGTTTTGTTGATAACACATTAGTTTGTTGCTTTATAGTTTCTAACATAGCTTTGGAAAACATGAATATTGTTGAGCATGGAAATAAATGTATCACATCAAATATAGATTTTCATACAATAATGACTGATAATTGATTATTGAAATGTATTTGAAGGAAGCTGTAGAGAAACTTTCAGCTATGAATCATCCTGATGGTGATTGTCCGTTGTGTTTATTCCCTTTGGTCCCAGAAGATCAGCAAAGTGAAACCTTGCCTTTTATGAAGTTAATGTCTTGCTTTCATTGCTTTCACAGGTGGGCTTTTATTAATTTTACATTTCTGAATTCTTATCCTTTTGTTCTTCCGTATATAACATTAGATATTTTTAAAGTTATATGAATTTAAAATTTTCACGGTTTAACATTAGATTTTGAGATCTGCTTGTCTATATCTGGCAGTGAATGTATCATTAGATGGTGGAAATGGCTTCAAAATTCTAAAGAAGTAGACTCTGCTAATACAGATGGTGCAGCAGCACATCATAACCAAGGTATGGATAATTGGAAAGGTATTTTTGACATGTTTAATATAGTTTTCGATATCAAATTGTTCTTTTGTACAATCAAAGAATAGAGGCTTGGAGAGCTAATATATTCTGTAGAAAATCCTCATAAAACACAATTGGCTTCAAAAGTAGATGAATACTTTTCAGATTCATATTGGGTTTAATGGACACTATTTCAATTGGAGTAAATACCTGTTTAAATTTTGTAATTCAGGATCTTGGTAAATGGATAGGAACCTATCACAATTGCTTGATATTTTTTCTCAATAATCATTTGCAATTGCAACTATAGATTCAGAAGAGATGCTTCATTGACAGCCTGAAAACTTAACATTAGTTAACAATGTGAAATTATTCTTTTGTACAAAGAAAGCACGGAAAGTCTTCATGTAATCACATCCAGTATTTCATCAATTTAATCAAACCTTATCAATCTCTTGCGCTACCACCAAAATTGCTTCTGCTTTGCATTGACAAGCCAACCCCTAACAGAATAGAAAATGCACCCTTGAAGCATTTCTCTATTTTGTCATGGAAGTTGAATCCTATTATTTAAATCTCTGTCAACCTTTATAACTTTGTATGATGGATCCAAGACTAAAACCATACAACTTGTGGTAGGATATGATCCTCAATTTTCACTTCCAAGCTATTGTTAGCTTGTGTCTTGTTGAAAATGCATTCTGTGTATTTTTGTTTTTACCTCTACGTAATTGGAAATCTTGTGATTCCAATGCCTCTCTCACGTCTCAGTCACTCTAGTTTATTTTTGTGTATTAGTTATCACCTTATAGGGACATCTTCTAGGAACCACCATGTGCTCACTTTCTTGTTTTAGCCTTATCATTCATGCCTAATGCCTTTGAAAAAGGTATATGGACTCCATGACTAGTTCTCTGAAATGTTGGTCTCGTCTTGATTTGTTTAATTATTCCTTCCGATAATTTTGTAGCATGGGTTATGTGCTTAATCCATCTTTTGCACTTACTACAAATGGTGATAATAAATATTTCTTGATTTGATGCTCCTTCATATTTTGATATGGACCATTTGTCTTTAGGTTAGCAATCCTACTTTGGTTGGCCATTTTTTTTCCCAGTTATTTTCTGAAGTTACATATTTTTAGAAGTTCTTCATTTGGATTCAAACAACTCAGCTTCTTTAGTCATGGATTCTTTATATAATTATTTTAAATATTCACAATTTGATATTTTAGTATGATGTTTGTATTTGGCTAGCATAGTAGCATCTATTCTATTTTCCTTGCATGAAATACATGCCTCTTTTGTCCTGCTTTAATGCATTCCTAATAAATATCATGAAAACTCGTAGTATAACATATTCTTAAGGAATTTATGTTTCTTATTGTGTTAGATAAGCATAAGGAAATGGAAGAGAGTGTTGGTAACTGCCCAGTCTGTCGCAAGACTTTTCTTGCCAAGGATTTAGATCATGTGCTTGCCCTAGTTGGTTCATATACTTCCCAATTGGTAATTTATTTTCATCATCTCTACAGCATGGACTGTAAATGAGAATTTCATCATTGGTTTGTATCTGTTTATCTACAATGGCCTGGAGTTAGATGTTAGGCCTAGTTAGAACTTGGATGAATTGCCTTTGGAATAATACTTGCAATCTGACAGAGTTGTTCTTGCTGCTTGCAGTAAATTATATTTTCCTCTATTGAAGAATACCCATTGATAATTTAATGTTTAAGAAATATGATTTGAAAGTTTACATTCACATATTATGGTCTCAACTTTCCTTGCTCCCCTTTTTTCTCTTTGGTTATGTTTGACAAACACCAGCTTTTGAAGAGCAAAAAATGAAATAGATATGCTATGATGCTTTGCTTTCTCCATCTGTCCAGTTTTGTCAAAATTTTATCCTGAAATGCTAAATATGCAGCTATGAGCATATTTTATGGTAGGCCACATACTGGCACACACACCTTTTGTAATTTTGTTGAAAATAAGTTGAAAGATGCATTGTACTAATGCGGATGAGTAATGAGGTCATATGTTATTCTTGTTACTTTGATTTTGACCTGTTATATTATTCTATTGCAGAGTGGTTCCTGCCCTTCTATTCTCCCTTCACATAATGGGAGCTTTTAATGTGTTGAAACTTGAATCCAAAATTTAGACTACTGAATAGAATAATTAAAAAAATTCAGAGATATATATTCCAACTGAGCCACTGTTTATGGTAGAGTGTTGGATGCATGTGAATAATGTTCCTAGTAAATTTTACTCTTATAAAACAGCAATGAAGTTTTGTCTACATTTGCAAATTACAGCCTTATAGGGTCAACATCGTTATGGATTGTGTCAAAACTGCAAACTTGATATTGCTGCCAAAAAACTGGTTGAATGATAATAATCATGTTTTCAACATTAGTTTCTTTTACGTTGCTCTTGAAGTTAGCCATTTTGTTGTTGCATTTCAGAGTTTGGAAAATGATGAAGTCAATGATGAGGAAAAGCTCCTTCAATCTGAGGATGAGATCATTAGGAGACAGAAATTTGAAGCCATCTTAAGTTTACAGAAGGAGAACAGTGGTTTGATTGAACCCAAAAGAGATATAGTAATATTGCCGGGCATGTATCTTCCACAACCAGTTGCAATGCCCAGCTCCACGTCAACCAAGGAATCTGATGAGAACCAACAAAAAGATCCACCTGCAGTTGTGTCTACCAAAGAATCCGATGATCAGCTACAAAAAGATCCATCTGCAGGTGTGTCAGGAAAACATGCTGGTGGGACATCCAATGGACCTAGTTCTAGCAGGCATAGGAATTTCGGTGCAAGGAGGCAGAAAGCAAGAAGTGATCATCACACTAGTTCAACCGTAAGAAATCCCAGAAAACCAGTCCAACAGTGGGTAAGAAGAGATACTCCTAGCAATAATCAATAAAATTGAGACTGTTCTTGTTATCTCATCAATGTTTAGAAGCTGCAAAAACAAAGATATAGATAGTAGGAAAAGACACTCCCGCACCCGTTTTCAGTTATAGGGGTGTTGGAGGAGCAGAAGAAACAAAGAAAGGAAAGACAAGCACATGCTACTTATTTATGCAATTTGCTGTGTTTTGTTTTTCCCTTTTCGACTCCGGAATCACATTATGGGTTGAGATTTTGCATTTTCTCGTGAATCGTGATGGTATTTCTTAATCACAGAAATTTTCAACTTGGAGTTGTGAAATGTCACATTTAAGCAGTTATACGATCTGTATGCCACACAAGCGCAAGCCTTCAGTGTAAAGTATATCCAATCTGTGGAATAAGCGTTGAGCCTAATTGATTTTAAGCCTCACGTTTCAGTTTTTGCAGAGTGAACCTGCATGCAACTGTAGCAATATTCCCTCCCTTGTTCAATTCGTGGGTGTTTTTCTTTCAATATTGTATCTTATGGCTTTGTAGTGAAGTCCTTTTGAACCCGGGATTGATGAAAGTATCTTCGATTCTTCAGTATATCATCGCGGATGGAATTTTCTTCAATTCAAAGTGACCTCATTTGATGAATAATAAAAGAAAAGGCTCATAAAAAGCCACAAAATATTTTTCACTCGAGTGTAATCATACATTTATTACATGCAGAGTTGTCATGTCACATGCATCTACAATTAAGTATGAACTTGAGGTATGTATTTGACATGACTTTGACAGAAAAAAAATTCCTTTGGCTAGGGGCAGAGTCGGATTCAGATTTTTGCCGGCATGTAAAAGTAGGGTTGAATATATATATATATA